TGATATGCATGCCAAAGTCAAGTATCCTATTAAAAATTATGTGTCTACTCATCGTTTGTGCAAACCATACACATCTTACATATGTCAGCTATCTAGTGTATTAGTTCTAACAAATTTGGTTTTTTTTTTTTTTTTTTTTTTTGTCAAACAATAGATTTGTTAGATTAAATGTTAGATAAATAGGGGTAAAAAAAAAATAAGGGACTAGTGATCAAATTTTATTAAAATTAAAGGACCATTATTATAATTTCTTTTTTATAAATAGGGATAAAAAATAAAAAATTGGGGACATACTTGATATTTTGAGAAGGGTAAAGAGAACATAGGTAGTACCCTTGCTTTTGTCAAATGGTGGGCAAAGTCTACTTTATATATTCTTCGTATTCGCAAATTTTTCCCAAGATATCTGAATTATATTTCCATCGGGACACAAAACTTGAATCATTTAAACTTGTCAGCCCATAGAAAAAAAAAACCGCGGGTAAAACCCACAATTTATGTTGCTATTGCCGAAGCCGCCCGCCATAGGAATATAGTAGTTTGACTAAACTATGTGTTTGTCTCCAGTAAATGAGATTGTTTGTGTTCTGAATGAGCTTTAGTTCTGGTTTCATCAGATGTTCATGGTGGCCTAACTAGGGTTGATATGGCGTATGACAATCCCGTTGATGCGCGAAACTCGGAGCCAATCTTACAGATTGTAGGAAGAGAAATAAATTGTGTAGCTTTAATCTAATGAAGTAGAAATTTTTAAGAGCGTCGAATGGTTAGTTGGCAATGGAAAGTGTACTAAAATTTTGATGGAGTGGATTCGTTCGAATTACAGCGGCGATAGAGTAAAAAGGGCCCGTGCTGTAGTTTTGGCATTGTTTACTGTTATTTCTATGTTCCAAGACTCCTTACCATTCAGGTATCTGCAATATTGTTTCAAACTTCCAACGAATGACGCTGAGGCCACTATATGATGTCACGAAATTTTGACTGAAAGATTATTCTAAGTTTATCCTGAATTATTATAGTTATCTCGTAAATAGATTATGAGTTCAAACAATTAGTCTGCTGCGTGTCTGATCCCGGAATTTTGTACCTTAACAAACCCAAACAGGTTATGTTCATACGGTGAAGAATTCTTTGACCTTGAGAGAGCTGCATCCCGGATACACGCGCTTTGAACCTTGTGTGTGTCAAGCTATTCTTCATCTAGTGAAAAACTATTTACCTGCTCAGGCATATATATAGACACATTACAATGGAGATGAGGTGCTTATCAATTAACACAACCCTTTGCAATGGATGCAAGGCTGTTTGACGCTTCTCAGACGGGAGATGTCCAACTCTTGCATCGATTGCTGGCAGATAATCCACTTCTACTTCATAGCCTTGCTCTAACTTCCACAGATAATCCTTTACATGTTGCTTCAATTGCCGGGCATGTCGACTTTGTCAAGGAGATTATGAGGTTAAAACCAGAGTACGTCGAAGAACTGAACCATGATGGTTTTAGCCCCATACATATTGCATCCGCCAATGGGTATTTGGAAATTGTGAGGGAGATGCTGAGAGTTGACCGGAGACTCTGCCGGCTAAATGGAAGAGATGAGTGGACTCCTCTTCATTACGCCGCTAGCAGAGGGAGGGTAGGCGTAATTAGAGAAATGGTCATGGCTTGTCCAGAAAGTGTTGAAGATGTGACCGTACAAGGGGAGACTGCTATTCACCTTGCTGTTAAGTGCAGCCAGTTTAAAGCAATTAAATCTTTGGTGAACGTCCTGAATATGAAGGATAAGCATGGCGACTCAGTTCTTCATCTAGCAACATGGAAAAAACAACATCAGGCAACTACTATTTGAACCGTTGATCAGTACCCATTTTTCTTTCTTATGGTCAGTAGAATTTTAGTCCATATTGATTTGTTAGTCGACTAATGCTCGCAGGTGGTGGAAGGATTAGTTGGAAATGAAACAATTGCAGGGGCCTTGGAAGTAAATTCTGTAAACGATAGGGGTCTCACAGCTTTGGATCTGGTCTTCCCAAATGAAACCGGTGATTGGGAAATGGAGGCAATCCTTCGTGGTGCTGGAGCTTTGAGAGCAGGAGATATAGTCCACTCTGGTGTCCAATGGTTCAGTTCTTATAGCCATAACCATACACACACGGCATCAGAGACTCATCAGTTGCAGCAGCAGCAGCAGGAGCAACAGAAGACAAATAGGTGGGAATACTTCCAGTTCAAAAAGGGCAGAGACAGTCCTAGCGATGCACGTACCGCGCTGCTAGTCGTGGCTTCACTAGTGGCTACAGCCACTTTTCAAGTGGGACTCAACCCGCCAAATGGAAATTGGCAGGACAGTTGTGACGTGAATAGTAATGGGACTGGCAGCAGCAATGAACCAGTACACTTAGCAGGAAGGTCCATCATGGGTTCTTATAGTGAAGTTTCATTCGTCGTTTTTGTGGTTCTCAACTCGATTGGATTTTACTTCTCTCTTTACACCATGATCCTCCTCACAGCCAATTTCCCTCTCCAGTTGGAGCTTCAAATCTGCATCATAGCGGTATACACCACCTACAGCACTGCGGTTGTCAACATTGCACCATCATATAACAGCTGGCTCTTTATCATCGTGTTCACATCGGTTTTGCCTTTTTTGGTCGGACTTGCTGCCAAATGGGCTAGACACCCGGTCACAATCAGGCGAAAATGGATCCTTCGATTCTTTGAATTAATTTGGTGATAAAATTGTTATTGGCGGCTGGGAAGTAAGATGATAAAAGATGCTAGCTAGTCGGCCGGTGAGTTAGGCCTATCGCCTAGATGCCTAAGTTGATATATGTAAATCTATTGTATTTCGTGTAAATTAATGTTTGTTTATTCTTAAAATATATATAATTTCATCATAAACTAAAAAATAGAATAACATATATATTATGAAGTATTGGAACATAATAAAAATATGAGGAGCAAATATATAATGTGTGTTTATTTAAGTGTTCAATAAGTCTCTTACAATTTATTGGAAACAATAAAATGCAAAGGGAAAATTATCTATTTTTAATCTAAGTGAGTTGCAACCTAGGCAGGTATCTAGGCGGGTCTGGGCAGTCTATGCGGGTGCTTAGGCGGTCTAGGCACCCTTTCTTAATTTTCAAATGCCTAGGCATTAATCGGGACAGTGATCAGCCACCTGACGCCTAGAAAAGGCTTAGGTGGTGCTGGGCGTAGATTTTTAGAACAATGGTAGGAATAAAACAAAATAAACAAGAAGTTTTGAACTGATTGTTTGTTTTTTATTCAGTGGTATGTCCAATCTCCAAATTTGGATGGATTTATTTTATATAGAGTTTTGACATTTAACACCGTGATATCTTTGAATATTCGCTCGCATTTGGATCTTGAGCTGCAAGCTATTCTTTATCTCGTGAAGAACTCAATTCCCCCGAACAGGTGTATGAAGTGAAGGACAGACATGGGACCTCAGTTCTTTACCTAGCAATCTCTACGAAACAACGCCAGGGAAGTAGAATCTGATCAGCTGTTATTGTTAAGGATCCGTTAAGATAACGGGTTTCACACGATACGACAATTTAAGATAACAAATAACACGAACACAACAAACATGACCTGTCTGCCAGGTATTTCAAACCTATAAATGTTGACTTCGTTAATTTACTTCCAAGGCTTAACCCTGATGCAGATGTTCCGCCCTATGATATCAACTGAAATATTATCTCATCAATAGATTATGAATTTACATGAACAGAGTTCAAACCATTACTCTTCTGCATCTCGGATTCACGCGCATTTGAACCTTGAGTCTCAAGCTATTCTTCATCGGATGAAAACGACCGCGCCCATCGGATGAAGTGGGACTTGTAGGTTGTCCACAACCTAGTGATTGCTGCAGTTTACGGCTTCATGTTGTTCATGTACCGTTCCAAGTACATCTCGAAGTCCTCTTTCTCTATCCCTATCCCGTTGGTACAGCGTTTGAATCAATAGAGAACCTTTTCCCTAACTTTTATCTCATATCATGACATAAGCAAGCATTTCTTATTGTATTGGACCAAAACCTCGCGAATTGATCTTTACGGTGCTTCTTCTATCAATTAGATCCTTTTATCACGCTCACTGTATATAGGAATTCAATCTGTTACTGCATTGCAAAATACCTGAATTGATTGTGTCCTTTTGGTGTTGGTATGATGTCGCATTGTATCTTGGTTATGCAATAAGTATGCATCGACAGTTTTTGAGTAATTGATTTCCAGTTTGAATTGATCAACTTAATCAAGCGTGGTTCATAGGGTACCAATCAAAAGAAAATGAACTTTAACTCTTTTGTTTCAACTCATACAATGACATGATTAACGGAAACGGATTGAGGTCCTCTCTGGATTTTACACTCTGGAATCCGGGAATCAAGAAATTCAGACCATTCAATTTAAATGCATTCAATCACTATTAACGCATCACACTGACCCACCTCAGTCGGACTAAAAATCAAACCGCCCAACTTAAATCATGTAGTCCGAATTTCTCAATTTGTGGACTCCAAAGTGTTCAAACCTTCAATTTAAATCATGTTAGTCCGAATTTCTCAATCTATGTGCTCCAGAGTGTTGAAATCCAAAGAGGATCTCAATCCAATAGAAACTAGTGTTTTTAAGCGTTTTCAACTTATCATATTATCAAAAGCATAGCACCTGACTTTTTAGAAGAAGCGCTTGTTATGCCATTCTGTTTGGAAGCGCTTGCATTTCAATGTGATTAATATTAGTGCTTTTACTAAAAATGTTTATGAGGATAAGTGCTTCTAAAAGAAATATTTTCAAACAGAGCCTAACACTAGTTTAGAACTAGCAAAGATGTTGTAAGTTTAATTTGCCTTTTCCGTGAACTGTTCTACCTAGAATGTCACTTAAATATGTCAGCAGACATTGTAAGGTTATTCTTCAAGTGATCAGAATTCCACTGAGCAAAAGAAAGGGATCGAAAAACATAACACAAACTCGAAAATTCTTAACTTCATAAGCAAAACCACTCAACTACAAGGTTCGGATTAACACAAAACGACTGAGTACAAAACCAGTTTACCAAGTACTTATCTCTAAAGCGGGCTAGGATATGAAAATACTACTCGACTCTGTTTCCATCGCTTCTAAGCCTTGTTCTTCTCAATGAGCTTCTCAATAAGATCCGCGGCATCCTGCACAGTTGCAATGGTCTGAGCGCTATCCTCTTCCACACTAATACCGAATTCCTCCTCAAGTCCCATCACAATCTCAACCTGAATGTGGATTTACATCAAAATAAGTTGGAAGTACAGCATATGACAATGTACGTAACTACAGGAAACGTAACTAACGCGGATAGAAAAACAAGAGAAGTTTAAAGTTTGATGCCAAAAAATATCCTGACGGTCTCTTAATTCTTCACTCCCTAGGAATAAAATACTTGAAATTATAAAAAGGTCAAATATTTCAACAAGAACAAGATAGAACGACTCCGGTTGAAGAGAGATCCATTATAAGGGAGATTAAGAATTATATGTAACAAGTTTGCAGATAAACAACAACCGGAAGAAAAAAAAAAATCAACGGCTGACCTCTAGCTTACAAACAGAGCAAAACCATGCTTATAGGAAGACAAAATTCAGGAAAAACAATGTGTCAAGTAGCATGTTAACATATTAACAATTATAGAATGTACCGTATCGAGAGAATCAGCTCCAAGTTCAGAAAACTTTGACTCGCCGGTAACAGCAGAGTCATCTGGCAATGCAAGTTGCTTCCTTACTATCTTAGACACCTTTGCCACTGTTTCTGGTTTGGCCTGCGCAATGGCAAACAGTTAGCATTACTACAACTCACAACAACACGATGACTGTCAACTTATTAAGTTTTTCAAATAAAGGCCGGCTTTCTCACAAAAGAATGTTCACGTTTCACTACAAAACCAAGCTTTACTCTGTTGCGTTGCAAGTATAAAGCTCGGATTGAATTGTGCACATAAACCAAACCTTGAACTTGAAGTATGAGAATTTCAGCAATCAAGACGGAGATTGCCCTGAGACTGAGAGTTCCTCTCTCCTCCATTTTTGTGTTCTCCGAGATTCTCTCGAACCCCAAATTCTCAAAGGAATGGACTTTTTGTTTTCTAGTTTTTGTTTGCATTTGGGTTGTTTTTGTTCTGCCTCAATTTTGGTTCTTGATGAATTTTTGTTAATTTTATTTGCTGATTTGATTTGATTTTCTTTTATATTACCCAAAATTTATGTTGCTATCCCCGAAGCCACCCGAAGTAGGAATAAATAGTGTAGCTTTAATCTAATGAAGTAGAAATTTTGAAAGCAAACTAATGAAAAAGATTTGAAAACTTTGAGATTTAATCTAACAAAAATGTGTTATGAGTGAATAGTATCATAAACGACTTTTTAGGGTAAAATTGTTATTTTTCATTAAAGTAGACAGTACTAAAAGTGTTTTGTTAAAACTTTTAATTTTAAAAGCGTCGAATGGTTAAGTTGGCAATGGAAAGTCTAGTAAAATTATGGAGTGGATTCATTTGAATTACAGTGGCGATAGAGTTAACGGCCGGTGCTGTAGTTTTGATATTATTTATTGGTTCCCGATTGAACAATGGACGAGCTTTGATGGCGATGTAACATCTTGAAACACCGACATTTTACTTGTCGAATGTTATTTCTATGTTCCAAGACTCCTTACCATTCAGATATCTGCAATATTGTTTGAAACTTCCAACGAAGGACGCTGAGGCCACTATATGATGTCACGAAATTTCGACTGAAAGATTATTCTAAGTTTATCCTGAATTATTGTAGTTATCTCGTAAATAGATTATGAATTTACATGAATAGAGTTCAAGCAATTAGTCTGCTACGTGTCTGATTCTGGAACTTCGTACCTTAACAAAACCGAACAGGTTATGTTTATATAGTGAAGAATTATTTGACCTTGAGAGTGCTGCATCCTGGATTCACACGCATTTGAACCTTGAGTGTCAAGCTATTCTTCACCTAGTGAAAAACTATTCACGTGCTCAGGCATATATATAGACGCACTCAATGGAGATGAGTTGCTTATCAATTAACACAACCCTTTGCAATGGAGGCAAGGCTATTTGACACTTCTCAGACGGGAGAGGGGGAGATGTCCAACTTTTGCATCAATTGCTGGCAGAGAATCCACTTCTACTCCATAGCCTTGCGCTAACTTCCACAGAGAATCCTTTACATGTTGCTTCGTTTGCTGGGCATGTCGACTTTGTCAAGGAGATTATGTTGAAGATATGAACCAGGATGGTTTTAGCCCCATGCATATTGCCTCTGCCCATGGGTATTTGGAAATTGTAATGGAGATGCTGAGAGTTGATTGGAGACTATGCCGGCTACATGGAAGAGATGAGTGGACTCCTCTTCATTATGCCACTAGCAGAGGGAGGGTAGACGTAGTTAGAGAAATGGTCTTGGCTTGTCCAGAAAGTGTTGAAGATGTGACCGTACAAGGGGAGACTATTATTCACCTTGCTGTTAAGTGCAGCCAATTTAAAGCAATTAAATTTTTGGTGGAACCGGTTGCAGAAACGAACAAGGTGAACATCCTAAATATGAAGGATAAGCATGGCTACTCGGTTCTCCATCTAGCAACCTGGAAAAAACGACATCAGGCAAGTACTATTTGAACCGTTGATCAGTACCCATTTTTCTTTCTTATAGTCATGAGAGTTTTAGTCCATATTGATTTGTTAGTGCACTAATGCTTGCAGGTGTGGGAAGGATTAGTTGGCAATGAAACAATTGCAGGAGCCTTGGAAGTAAATTCTGTAAACGATAGGGGTCTCACAGCTTTGGATCTGGTCTTTTCAAATGAAACGGTAATTGGGAAATGGAGGCAATCCTTCGTGGTGCTGGAGCTTTGAGAGCTGGAGATATAGTCAACTCTGGTGTCCAATTGTTCAATTCTCATAGCCATAACGATACCCACACGGCACCAGAGACGCATCAGTTGCAGCAGGAGCAGCAGAAGACAAATAGGTGGGAATTCTTTCAGTTCAAAAAGGGCAGAGACTGTCCTAGAGATGCACGTACCACTCTGCTAGTTGTTGCTTCACTTGTGACATCCCACATCGTCCAGGGGAGTGATCCTTATATGTATATTCCCATCCCTACCTAGCACGAGGCCTTTTGGGAGCTCACTGGCTTCGGGTTTCGTAGGAACTCCGAAGTTAAGCGAGAAGTGCTCGAGAGCAATCCAGGATGGGTAACCCATCGGGAAGTTCTCGTGTGAGTTCCCAGAAACAAAATCGTGAGGGCGTAGTCGGGACCCAAAGCGGACAATATCGTGCTACAGTGGTGAAGCGGGTCCGGAAAGTGGTCCCCCCCGGGTCGGGATGTGACAATTTGGTATCAGAGCCTAACCCTGGCCATGGTGTGCCGACGAGGATGTCGGGCCCTTAAGGGGGGTGGATTGTGACATCCCACATCGCCCAGGGGAGTAATCCTTATATGTATATTCTCATCCCTACCTAGCACGAGGCCTTTTGGGAGCTCACTAGCTTCGGGTTTCGTAGGAACTCCGAAGTTAAGCGAGAAGTGCTCGAGAGCAATCCCAGGATGGGTGACCCATCGGGAAGTTCTCGTGTGAGTTCCCAGAAACAAAACCGTGAGGGCGTAGTTGGGGCCCAAAGCGGACAATATCGTGCTACGATGGTGGAGCGGGCCCGGGAAGTGGTCCCCACCGGGCCGGGATGTGACAATTTGGTATCAGAGCCTAACCCTAGCCGTGGTAGCCGTGGTGTGCCGACGAGGACGTCGGGCCTGTAAAGGGGGTGGATTGTGACTTCCCACATCGCCCAGGGGAATGATCCTTATATGTATATTCTCATCCCTACCTAGCACGAGACCTTTTGGGAGCTCACTGGCTTCGGATTTCGTAGGAACTCTGAAGTTAAGCGAGAAGTGCTCGAGAGCAATCCCAGGATGAGTGACCCATCGGGAAGTTCTCGTGTGAGTTCCCAGAAACAAAACCATGAGGGCGTAGTCGAGGCCCAAAGCGGACAATATCGTGCTACGGTGGAGCAGGCCCGGGTAGTGGTCCCCCGGGGCCGGGATGTGACATCACTAGTGGCTACGGCAACCTTTCAAGTGGGACTCAACCCTCCAAATGGAACTTGGCAGGACAGTAGTGACGTGAATAATAAGGGGACTGGCAGCAGCAATGAACCAGTACGCTTGGCAGGAAGGTCCATCATGGGTTCTTATAGTGAAGTTTCATTCGTCGTTTTTGTGGTTCTCAACTCTATTGGATTTTACTTCTCTCTTTACACGATGATCATCCTCACAACCAATTTCCCTTTCCAGTTGGAGCTTCCAATCTGCATCATAGTGGTATACACCACCTACAGCACTGCGGTTGTCAACATTGCGCCATCATATAACAGCTGGCTCTTTATCACTGTGTTCACATCGGTTTTGCCTTTTTTGGTCGGACTTGCTGCCAAATGGGCTAGACACCCTGTCACAATCTGGCTTACAAAACCTCTCGGGAAATGGATCCATCGGTTCTTTGAATTAATTGGGTTATAAAATTATTATTGTAAATTGTTATTGAAGGCTTCTTGTACAATAATGTGGAAAGAAAACAAAATAAACAAGAAACTTTGAACTGATTGTTTATTTCCACTATTTATTTCGTAGTGATAAATAGTGTGGTTTGCTTCCATTTCAGAGCTTCCTTTTGAATTGAATCTGAGTGCATTCAAACCTAGAAATGTTGACTTTATTAGTTTACTTCCGAGGATTGACCCCGATGCAGATGTTCCACCATATAATGTCACGAAAATTCGACTGAAAGATTATTCATAGTGTATCCTGAATCGTTATAGGTATCCGTCTATAGATCATGCTTATATAGTGAAGAATTCTTTGACCTTGACAAACATATTTTTGAGTTTTAACAGTGTTGCACCTCGGATTCACGGGCATTTGAACCTTGGGTATGTCAAGTTATTCTTCATCTATTGAGAAACTAGCCACCTGCTCGGGCATATATATAGACACACTCCAATAGAATAATGGAAGACATACATTTCTGGCAGACTTCTTCCAGGTATTTGCAACTCTGTGTTTCTTATCGATAGTATTATTGTTAGTATTCGTTTCCTATTGGTAATTGACGTTTGGATGAAAACAGGAGGAAGATTTACATTTGGAGAATGTGTACTATTCAGAGATGAAAGATGCCGTTTCCTCGACGCAGATTGGGAGTGATGCACTAACCTCTCGGATGGAGTCTCGTCCATAGATAGAGGAAGAGTATGCGCTCTACGGCTTACGCAGTATCGAAGATGGTTTTGGTTGTCCGGGAACTCTAGAACTTAGTCGCTAGATGATCCGGTTAACACACTCGTTGTACATAGAAGTCAATACCTTACTGGATTATCAAAATATATCCTTGGATTGTGTCGTTTAAGTGTTTGTATGATGTCATATTGTATCTTGTATTGCTTTTTGCTGTCACAGAATAATGGAAGTGTATTTCAGAGATTCTTAGTGCTTATGCAACTGAGTTAAAATTTGATAAGATCAACTTGATCAATTGCTGTTATGCTCATCTTGCACCGGTTAAAATAAAAATGAACCTTAATCTATTCGTGAATGATTAGTGGAAATTAGTGCTTTTAAATTTAAGCCCTGGTTTGGTATTGAGGTGCTCTGAAAAAAGTGGGTATAAAAAAAAGTTGGAAGCTTTTTTGAGTTTGGTAAACATTCAACTCCAAATTTTTTTTTCACAGTTTTGGATGAAAAAAAGCAAAAAACACAAAGCTGCAAAACCTAGCTTTGAAAAATCGGCTTTTTTTACTTGCCCCCTCGTGAGCTTGGATCACTTGACACAAATGCAATGCCGATAACTCATTGTAATGCATCCCTATCTGCCTAACTTTGACCCACTTCGATGAAGCCGACAAAGAAGAACTCGAATTCTTGGTGAGTTTTTGCTCCGGTGGTGGTGTCAGCGTCAGCGTCGTGTTTTCCCTCTCTTTCTCCCCAATCAACACACTTACAACGATACCCACG